CCAGGGGATAAATATCACGTTATTGGGGTCGCTTCAACCCGCGGACATGAACAACAACCCGCGGCAACAGTGTTAAAAGTAGCCCAATTCAGCGGGAAAACCGCGGACTTGGCAACACTGCTTATGAACCGTTTCCTTGGTTACCACTGTAAACAAAGCAGAGTACACCATTAAAGGGGAAGCTACATGACAGTAGATTACGGATTTGCGGAGCAACAAAACAAGTGGGTATACCGAGGGTATATGCGAATACTGATCCTTAGAAGTCGTAATACGCAAACATCCCGGGGAAAAAAGTAAGCATACGGCGTATACTTGCGTATGGCCCCGACTACACCACTGCTTCAGTGATACATTAATATAACCCCATAAATGTAATGCATTTTTGTACTTATTTTACTGTTATTTTCGGGATCTACTGGGACAGTGATAAAGATCTACCGCGATCGACGGGTTGGCGACCACTGCTTTAGAGGCTACATGCATTTCAACTGTGGTTGCTATTTTTGTAACAATCTTAAAGGGATACTTCACCAAAAATGTACACTTTGGGTGAACTATCCCTTTAAGCAAATTTCGATCATTTTAGGGACGTTACGGCTGTTGTCGCTTTATCAGAGATGGATACAGGACCCCAACAGAGGTAACCAGACACTTGATTTTACACAAAATAAGTATTTTGTGGCTAATTCTCTTATAGTGTGACTGCATTCTATGTTTTTATGGTTGTGATAGGACCCCACTCGCCTTCACTATGATCCTGCTGAGTTGAAGCTCTTTGAGAACATTGAATGTGAGTGGCCAGTATTTTGGACTTACCTTATACTTGATGGCATCTTCAATGAAGACCATGAGCAGGTACGAACAGGCCGTCCTACAAGTCCTCACTTGTATTCTGAAAGCAGCAGAAATAACTCCCACTCATGGCCACATGGAGGCAGTATGTAGTTATGACACGGCGTGTCATTCCTCAGGTGCAGGAATACAGAGAGGCTCTTGAAGGAGTTTTGATCAGAGGCAAACACGGGATTCGTCTGGTGCCTGAACTCTATGCTGTACCTGCTGACAAAGTGAGTTTAAACCAGTTTGTTACTCTGATCAATACCATGTACAGTTCATCAGTTTTCATCTGCAACAAATCATTCTGAATCTGCATGTACATTTATCACCTCAGATACTCCTTTTTTTTGCGCAAAGACACAATGTATACTGAATTATGCCAGTTCTGAAGATTAATTCAAGTTGAATGAGTGTTTGGACTCTGCTCAGTAACTGTGACACAAACAATCCTGGGTAAAATGTTTTGATCTGTTGCTCATCTGTGTGTTTATTTCTTGTTCAGGTTGAAGAGGAGTACAGGAACCCTCACTCTGTGGAGCGTGTGGCCGCTGGCCAGCTCCCACACATGTGGGGCCAGTCTCTGTATATCCTGGGCTGTCTGCTGGCAGAGGTACTAAAGCCTGGATCCACTTTCATATTAAACATGTTATACTGTATATAATCAGATATGATGTCAGGTGTTGAAGCGCTACCTTTGGTATCTTTGTTGATTAAGTGTACATGTAAAATGTCAAAACAGAGTAGTCCCAGTGTTTCTTAGGCAATCCTTTGTGTCTTATCTATTCTGCTTCTTTTACTGATATCTGACAAATGGTTAATTTTAAATAGGGATTTCTGGCCCCTGGAGAGATTGATCCTCTGAATAGGCGATTTTCTAAAGAATTCAAGCCAGATGTTGTTGTGCAAGGTTTGTGAATATTATTGCTTTCATTTTTTTTTTTAAATGAGGAATATAGACAGTCAAACCATACCTATTCAGACACAGACTTATTTGTACCATATATCACCTTTTGAATTTCTGTAATTTTTTTTATTGGAAAAAGCATGTGGCAGATTTTTAGAAATATGTTTTGGCCAAACTCAGGCACTTATGCTAATGCTCAATTACAGTATAACTTGATAACTAACTAAGTTGTAATAGCTTTTCAACAAATGTAACAAGATATAAAGTGCTAAGAGATATTTGAGAAACAAAGCGATAAAGGGCAAATGTTTAGCCCGTTGTTTTCTCACCAAAACATGCAACTTTCTGGAAGACTACATTTATAATGGAAAAAATGTGGGTTGAATCCCAGTGAACACTATTCTGCAAAAAAAAATCTTTTGAAAGATTTTGGTTAAAGAAAGAATAAACTGAATATATAAGAATTTATATAGTATGTTTCATTTATATGAAACTATATAGTATGTTTTGCATCTATAAAAGGTTGGAGTTTAATATCGTTTTAATATTTTATATTAGGGGATATGAAAATCTACCACAGTAGGAATGAGTGTGCTGGTTGTGTTGGGCTGAAGTCCATTTAAGGAGCAGATTCAATTTATTACTAGAAGCTCAATTTTGAATTTGATCTTGACACTATAATTTGCTAAACAGAGAAGACTGACCTTTTGTTCTGTTTAGTGAGTGTAGTGGCTGAGTCAGTGCAGATCCAGCAGCTGCTGAGGGATCAAGGAATTGAGGTTCAGACCATCTCTGACGTTTCGCCCATCCGGGTCATGCCAGCTCGCATCCTGAGCCACATTTATGTGAAACTGGGTAAGTGTTCAGGTTCACCATGACTAACAGGACAGAGCCAGACCGTGTAAACAAAGGCTACATCTGTAAAACTGCATTTAGAAGAAGGTCTTGAAGGTTCTGGGATACAAAATTGAATTCAAACCGGTTCCTTTTTCCACTGCACAGGTAACTGTAAAAAGCTGAATCTGAGTGGGCGACTATACAGGCACATTGGTGTCTTGGGAACTTCAAAGTTTTATGAGATCAGAAATGGTACTTACACATTCACTCCACAGGTAAATAAAAAGGATCTCACATGGAAGTCTTTTATAGTAGAAGACCTACTCTACAAAAAAATATATGTACGTATATACTGTAAAGTCTAAAAAAACATTATAACAATATATGTTTCCCATAGTTCATTGACCAGCATCACTTCTACTTGGCTCTGGATAACCAGATGATTGTGGAGATGTTGCGAACAGAGCTTGCTTATCTCTCGTCCTGCTGGCGGATGACTGGAAGACCTACCCTCACGTTCCCTATCACACCGAGCATGCTGGGTAAAACTTCTCGTATGATGGAAGATATTGCACTATGCACAAATTAATATTAACAGTTTCTTTCTTTCTTTCTATTATTGGGCCAGTTGAGGAGGGTGACAGTATTGACCCCTGTATCCTCTCTACCCTCCGGAAGCTTCAAGATGGCTACTTTGCGGGTGCAAGGTCAGAAAAATTGTGGCAGTAACAATAAAAAGAGTTAGAGTATGATGTTTGAGGCACGAATATGGTTTATTTAACATCGCAAATCCCTTTGTTGTTTAGGGTGCAGATGGCAAACCTCTCCTCATTCCTCACAACCTCCTTCCACACCCAGCTCAGCTTCTTGGATGCTGACTCTGAAGAGAATCTGCTAGAGGAAGAGGAAGAAGAAGAAGAAGAAGAGAGTTATGGGTCCTCAGGTATCCATACTGACTTGCATATAGCTGCTTTGGAAAGCATCTCTCCCCCAAAAAATAAATGTATACATACCCTGCTGAAAACCAGGGTTTTCAGACCAGATTAAGTGTTGATGGTTCAAGGTTGATTTATGCTGGTTATTGTTGGTGAAGCTGATGGACCAGAATGGTCTTTCTTAGGGTACCATTTCAGCAGTGTTGTTATTGCTAACTAAACTATTAAAATTGAAATAAATCTGAAATAAAATATAAATATTAGCTGAAAAACTTACAAAACGTGAATAAAAAATTGGCATTGGCAACTGAAATAAAATAAGTCGAATTTGAAGTACTTAAATTACTGAATCTAAAACTGAAAAAAAAAAAAAAAATAAAATAAAAATAAATATAAAAAAACATAAAACTAATAAAATGACAAAAGCACATTACTTGACAGATTTTTAAATAAAAATAAAAATATGATTTTTAGAGTTAAAATAAAAAATAATAAAAGCTAATTCAAAATATGAATAAATACTATAATATAAATAATTCTAAAATAACACTGTTATATATTAGATATCCACTGATTTAAAAACTGATTAAAGATTTGTTTTTATATTTAAATTGCCTACACTCACTTAAATAGCACTGTGAAATGTAATGTTTAGCAAATATCAAAGTGAATATCTTTTTTATGCTCTACATTATTTTAGTTTTTATTTTGAATTACTTCAAAATAGTGTTGAATTTTACTAATCATTATCATCCAGAATTTAGATATCTGCATCTCTATTCCTGATCTTGTTGGTTAAGCTAGTTAATAAGTCTACTGGGGACACCAGCATCCAAAACACAACATATGCACAATACTCCACATAAACTAAAATGATAAAGTGGTGGTTTGTTTTCCCGCAGGAGGTTCAGGACACATGTTTGACCAGTATCTCACAGATCTATTGCACAGCACTGCTACAAAATGCCATCTGCCTGCCATCCAGAGGGGGCAGCACCACGTTTTTAGTGCTGAACACACCACCAGGGACATCCTTTCTTTCATGGCCCAGGTTCAGGGCCACAACATACCCAGTAAGCCCTCAAGGTCGATCGTTAATAGTTAAGTGGATTTCATGCTTTCTTTTACAGTACGGCTAGTCATCTCATTCTGTTATGTTTTTCAGAGCCTTCCATGTATTTGCCTGTTGTCCCCATCATGAGCAAACACAGGAAGTCTCTCAATCTGCTGGATGTTCCTCAGCACAATGTTTCTCATCGCACCAAGGCAAGTCTCCACACTCCAGTATAAAGTGAAAAATGAAATAAACGGCCCATTGTTTTGATTCATGTCTGTTTTTGTCTGCACACACAATCTAGGCTGATAGCGTTGACCTGCACTTGCCACGTGATTCTCATGGGAACACAGACTTTGCCTATCTGGTCAATCAGCTAAAGCATTGTCCAACCCTTCAGGACCAGGCAGATATCCTCTATGTCCTCTATGCTATGAAGTGAGAACCTTTGTACAAATTGACTGTGCATATCCATTATAATTTATTTTATAAGCCATTTTTAATCAAAGTCAAAAAATCAATCATCAATGTGTTTAGGGGTTCAGATTGGATAGTAAATCTGTCAGGACAAGGAGAGGCAACTGTTCGCTCCCTGCTGGAGGAGCTGTATGTTCGGGCAGGAGCGTGTAAGGAATGGGGCCTCATTCGCTACATTTCAGGCATCCTGAAGAAAAGAGTGGAAGTCCTTGCTGAGGTGAGACCCCATATCTATCAGTGCTTGTTTGATAAACAACAGACACTTTTATGTTTCTTGGTTGATTTTGTTTAATAATTAAAACTTAAATATTTAGAATTTTGAAATTTTAAAACTTTAAATGTTTGTTATATTATAATTCAGAAGTGTGGAGTCAGATTTTAGTAGAAGGTTGCATTTATTTGATCAAAAATACAGTAAAAACAGCAATATTGTGAAATATTAGTACAAATTAAAGGGATAGTTCACCCAAAAATGTAAATTAGCCCATTATTTACTCACCCTCAAGCCATCCTAGGCGTATATGACTTCCTTCTTTCAGATGAATCCAATCGGAGTTATATTAAAAATTGTCTTTGAATTAGTGACTGTTGTTTTGTTTTGATCTCTCCGCTGCGCTTCTGCGTTCGTCACTTCTGAGCGGCACATGCGCAACACCGACGTCTTGCGTCATCCGCCCGGCGCTGCTTCCTTTCATATCGGCGGCATATTCGCCGATACCGATATATCGGCGACAGGCACATATTGGCCGATAATATCGCCAAAACGATATATCGCTCGGGCTCTAGTTGCAGTTCATCAGTCCAAAAGAAGTGAAATAAAGCACATGCATCCATAATAAAAAGTGCCTCACATGGCTCCGTGGGGTGAACAAAGGCCTCCTGTAGCGAATCGATGCGTTTTTGTAAGAAAAATATCCATATTCAAAACGTAATAATCACTTTAATCTAGCTTGTGCCAATAGTTGAACACGGAAGCAGTTCCGGGCGGATGACGTAAGATGTTGGCGTTCCCGGAGCCGTGTGAGGCACTTTTTATTATGGATGGATGCGCTTTATTTAACTTCTTTTGGACTGATGAACTGCAACACCCGCTGAGTGCCATTAAACAGCTTGAAAGATCAAAGACCATTTTTAATATAACTTTGATTGGATTCGTCTGAAAGAAGAAAGTCATATACACCTAGGATGCCTTGAGGGTGAGTAATTCATGGGCTAATTTTAATTTTTGGGTGAACTAACCCTTTAAAATAACTGTTTTCTATTTTAATATATTTTAAAATGTAATTCATTCCTGTGATGCAAAGCTGAATTTTTAGCATTATTACTCCAGTCTTTAGTCTTTAAGGTCACATGCTACTTCAAAAATCATTTTAATATGCTGATTTGCTGCTCAAGAAACATTTCGTATTATTATCAATGTTAAAACAGCTGGGCTGCTTAATATATTTGTGGAAACCGTTATATTTTTTTTAAGGATTCTTTGATTAATTGAAAGTTCAAAAGAACATTTATTTAAAAATAGAATATTTATTTAAAAATAGAAATCTCTTGTAAAATTAGTTTTTATAGTAATTTTTCAAGTCTCATCAAAATCTGTCTTGGAAACATTTTTCATTATTTTTTACAACTTTAATCCTTTAAATTAGAAAATTGTCATAAAATATACAATATTAGATTTATAAAATTATGATAATCTAAACAAAGAGTAAAAATGATTTATATCAGCTTAACTCTCAGTGGGAGCAATTTTACCTGTAATAATGTTTGTGTGTGTGTGTGTGTGTGTGTGTGTGTGTGTGTGTGCATGCATGCACTCAGGCTTGCACAGATCTGATCTCCCATCATAAACAGCTGACAGTGGGTCTTCCTCCCGAACCCAGAGAGAAGGTCATCACAATGTGAGTGTCTTTAGTTTCTGATAGTCATTTTAGATTATTTATTTTTTAAATCATTATTTTTTTTTATAAAGCAATCATTTTAATATTCTCTTTTTACTTAACCGATTCTCTTATTTTTAGTCCTCTTCCTCCTGAAGAACTGATTAGCTTGATTTATGAGGCCAGTGGACAAGACATCAGCATTGCTGTCCTCACACAGGTAGTTGTAATTTTAAGCCTTTAAGTTATGTTGCTATCTTCCACTGTGCTATTAAATTAAACTTCTGAGCTCAGGAGATCATGGTGTATCTGGCCATGTATGTGCGCTCTCAGCCATCTCTGTTTGGAGACATGCTGCGTCTGCGCATCGGGCTCATCGTGCAAGTGATGGCTACAGAACTTGCTCGCAGTCTACACTGCTCAGGTACAGCCAATCAGAGTTTTGGTTCTACAATGTAAATCTTTATTATTTGCTTACATTAAGTGCAATAAATCTGTCCATGTGACATCTACAGGTGAGGAGGCATCAGAGAGCCTGATGAGCCTCAGTCCTTTTGACATGAAGAATCTCTTACATCACATCCTGAGCGGGAAAGAGTTTGGTGTAGAGAGGAGCAGTGAGTATCAATCAACCTTAGTTTTTTACGCTCTTTACTCCAGTGAGTATTTCTTTGGGTTTTTAGGTGTAATTTTTATCGTTTTATTTTTGAAAGTCATTTTCTGTACTATATGTACACGACTGTTCAAAAGTTTCAATTTTATGTTTTAGAAAGAAGTCGCTTGTCTCACCAAGGCTGCATTTATTTGATCAAAATATATTAAAAACAGTAATATTGTGGACATCAATTTTTTTAAAATATATATTTTAAAATGTAATGTATTCTTACAGAAGAGTAAAAAATAAGAAAAAAGGTAATTGAGAATTTTTATCTTACAATTTTAAGTTAAGTCAGAATTGCGAGATGTACAAACTTTTTTCTCAGAATTGCGTGATATAAACTCACAATTATGAGTTATAAAGTCAGAATAGTGGGATATAAACTTGCAATTGCTAGAAATAAAGTCAGAATTGCGGGATAAAAACTCGCAATTCTGACTGTTTTTCTCGCAAATTCGAGTTTGTATCTTGCAATTAATAAAAAAAAGTCGGAATTACGAGATGTAAACTCGCAATTGAGAGAAAAAAAGCCAGAATGGTGAGATAACTTGCAATTACCTTTTTTAAAAATGTTTTATTCAGTGGCAGAAACGGGCTTCAGTATATTCCTGTGATGGCACAGGTGAATTTACAGCATATTTGTGGAATATGCTTTTTTTCAGGAATGGTTGATGAATAGAAAGTTCAAAAGAACAGTATTTATTTGAAATGGAAATCTTTTGTAACAAATGTATTTACTGTCCCTTTGATCGAATGAATGCATCCTAGCTGAATAGCTACAAAAATATTATTTTAAGATTTCTGTGCAGTTAATTTAAAAAGAGGTATGATGTGGCTACTCTTGTTGTGTGGTCTGTTCTTCAATAATCGCTCTGTATTGTGTGAAAGTGCGTCCGATTCAGTCTTCAACCACCAGTCCTGCCATCTCCATCCATGAGCTTGGACACACAGGGGCCACCAAGACAGAGCGCACAGGCATCAGAAAACTCAAGACTGAAATCAAACAGGTGGAGTGAAAGTCACGTAAATTAGACATGACTGTAAATTATTTATCAAATGTTTTGCAAATTGTGATATTTTTACAGATTTCCTCACTATTGTACCTTAAATGGCTTTTATATTATTTTGTTTTCAGCTCGATGACTCCAGACCCATGAGTGTGGGTTGAGTTTGTAATATTGGCATGCTGTGCTAATACTGTAGAATAGCTTTTTTGTGCAGAGCCCATTCTGTCTAGTGGTCACAGCACATTTGTCGAGACCATGAAACCAGTATTAGCATGAAAATTCTGAGTAATCTTCAGTTTGCCCATATCATACACATCTTTTTTTAGTCATATGAAGCATCTTTTTGACTGTGAAGGTGATAGTTTTTCATGTTAATGTCTCTCTGTATGATTGATGCCTCAACTGTTTGTTCATCAGAAATACTTTCCATTTTTATGTCCATTTTAAATGTTTATATGCTCTGCTTTTATTCTCATAGATATTTACCAGCAGTCATTCCATCAGCAGTAATTTCACCTCCCCTCGTTCCACGGTAACTTGCAGAAAAACCAAAACCCTCTCCACTAACACCTGCTCTCCACTGTCGAATACTATTTTTTTTTTTACACAAGCCAGTTCAGAAGATTAAAAATAATTTTAACTTGGAGGGGTGGATTCAGTTCATTGGTACTCAATAAATATAAATTTAATCTAATGAAATTTTTCAGTGCCTCAGATTAATTGACTGATTTGAAATGCGACAAACTTACAGCCATAACAGCCAATTAATATTTCTAACTTGTCTCACATCAGTCTTGTCTTGTTGTGGTCATTTCACTCTCTTAGCATGGGCTGACATTATAACATCTTAGCTATGTTTGTCATAGTTTCTGCTTACTAAACCTGAAGCATGCTTTTAAGTGTGTTATATGTGCTGATTAGTGCCACTAGTCCCACTAGTCAAAATTTTACCTCATATCTTTATGATATACTGACAATGCAAATGTGTGCGTGTCTGTAGCGATGCAGCAGCCCCTCCACTCCCAGCGGGATGCTGTCTCCGACCGGTACAGGAGACTCACACCTGCAGTGGGAGGAGCGCCAGGGCCAGTGGCTGAGGAGACGCAGACTAGATGGGGCCATAAACAGGGTTCCCATGGGCTTCTACCAGAAAGTCTGGAAGATTCTCCAGAAATGTCATGGCCTCTCCATTGCTGGATATGTCTTGCCTTCCTCCACCACCCGTGAGGTGCATCCACCTATGTGTATATATATATATATATATATATATATATATATATACATACTATAAATATATACTATAAATAGTAGATTGCACATTTTTTAAATTGCCTCCCCCCCCCGTGAGGTGCATCCACCTATGTATATATATATATATATATATATATATATATATACATACTATAAATATATACTATAAATAGTAGATTGCACATTTTTTAAATTGAGATTTATACATCATCTGAAAGCTGAATAAATAAGCTTTCCATTGATGAATGGTTTGTTAGGATTAGACAATATTTGGCTGATATACCATTATTTGAAAATATGGAATCTGAGGGTGCAAAAAAATCTAAATATTCGCCTTTAGAAAATCGCCTTTAAAGTTGTCCAGATGAAGTTCTTATAATGCATATTACTAATCAAAACTTACGTTTGCAAAAGGTCGTGGGTTCAATTCCCAGGGAACACACATACTGGTAAAAAATGTATAGCTTGAATGCACTGTAAGTCGCTTTGGATAAAAGCATCTGCTAAATGCATAAATTATTATTATTAATTATTAAATTAAATTATTATTATTATTAATTATTAATTATTCTATCCTAATGATTTTTGGCATAAAAGAAAAGTCGATAATTTTATACCCCTGCTACTTATGACTGGTTTTGTGCTCCAGGGTCACATATTTGGGGTCGGCAAGGATGCATTAAATTGATCAAAAGTGACAGTAAATTATTTCACATTGTTACACAAACACTAAAATAATTGCTGATCTTTTGAACTTTCTATTCATTCAAATCTTTAAAAAAAAATTATTAGTTTCAATAAAAATATTAAGTAGCACAGCTGGTTTCAAAATTAATAAGATGAAGAAATGTTTCTTGAGAATAATTTCTAAAGGATCATGTGACACTGAAGACTGGAGTAATGGCTGCTGAAAATTAAGCTTTGCCATCACAGGAATAAAATACACTTCAAAATATATTCAAATAGAAAACAGTTACCTCAAATTGTATACATTTTTCACAATATTACTTTAATTTTTACTATATTTTGATCAAATAAATGCTGCATTGGTGAGCATCTTTCAAAAATTTCTTCAAGAAAAACCTAACCTACCCCAAACTTTTGAACTGTGTATATATACAGTATACTATGCCAAACTATATTACATTGAACCTTAAAAGGTTAGTTCTCTCAAAAATTAAAATTCTGTCATTAATTACTCACCCTCATGTATGGTACTTTTATGAAGTTTTTTCAGCATACAGCATACAGGTTTGAAACCTAGGCAGAGTAAATGATGACATTTTTTAAGTTTTTATTTTCGTGAATGAACTTTTCCTTTAAATTTGGCTTGAAATCAAAACTGACCTGTTTTTTCTTCATGCATTGTGGGTTATGTATATAAACTCTCTTGCCACGAATTGTGATTCTGCAATATTTTTACCCCAATTATCAAAATCCCATCCAATTACCAAGTACAATAATGCAGCAAAATAAAATACCTGCCAATGAAATAAAACTATAACAGAAAATATGTAATATAAAATATGTAAATAAAAACAAATAAAAGGGGGTGCTCAGCTTAACTGTCTGTAGAGTCAGCCAGTATATTATCCAAAAAGTGACACTACCTTATCAAAGGTCTTTAAACGGTTACTTCACCCAAAAATAAAAATTCTGTCAATAATTACTCGCCCTCATGTCGTTCCAAACTCGTAAGACCTTCGTTCATCTTCGGAACACAAACTAAGATATTTTTTATTAAATCGGAGAGCTTTCTGACCCTCCATAGACAGCAACACAACTGACACGTTCAAGGCCCAGAAAATTATTAAGGACATCATTAAAAAAGTCCATGTGACATCAGTTGTTCAACCTTAATTTTGCGAAGCTACGAGAATACTTTTTGTGAGCAAAGAAAACAAAAATAACAATTTTATTCAACAATTTCTTCTCTTCCGTGTCAGATTTCGATGCGTGTTCACGAGAGTACCATGACGCATGCGTGTGGTGCTGCTGACGCAGGAGCCGGCGTTCTGACGTAGAACCCGGTTGTGCTGCGCCTTGTTTGCAAAGAGAGGAATGTACACGCATGCGTCATGGTACTGTCATGAACGCATGTCGAATTCTGACATGGAAGAGAATTGTTGAATAGTTATTTTTGTTTTCTTTGAAAATTACGGTTGAACCACTGATGTCAGATGGACTATTTTAATGATGTCCTTACTACCTTTCTGGGCCTTGAACATTACAGTTGCGTTGCCGTCTATGCCGGGTCAGAAAGCTCTCGGATTTCATCAAAAATATCTTAATTTGTGTTCTGAAGATGAACAAAGGTCTTACGGGTTTGGAACGACATGAGGGTGAGTAATTAATGACAGAATTTTCATTTTTGGGTGAACGATCCCTTTAACTTCATTTTCCTTTAAATACCCATAACCATGAGCTGTTATCTGTGTGTATTATTGTAGATGACGGAAGGAGAGATCAAGTTCGCAGTGCACGTGGAGTCTGTACTGAATCATGTCCCACAGCCTGAGTACAGACAGCTGCTGGTGGAGGCCATTATGGTGTTGATCCTTGTAGCTGACATGGAGATTCCCAGTATTGGGGGAATTATTCAGATCGACCTCATTGTTCACATGGCCAACGATCTTTTTCAACAGGATCAGGTATCATCATGCATATGCTGTTATATATAATCATATGATGCTCAATTGGTATGTTCACATGTATGTACACACCTGCCTGTTATTACGATTTTTCCCATTTTAGCATAATGTCATCGAAACTATGAAATAACACAAATAGAATTATGTACTGATGAAAAAGGTTAAACATATCAAAACTATCTCAACTTCATCAAAGTGTGCCTGTTTTGTGTAGATTCCAATTTTGCACATCTGGACATTATGGCTCATGTGTTTTTATTTCAGCGATCCAGCGGGGCCAATGAGTATTTGTTGGAGAAAGATCCTGCCACAGGAATCTGTAACTTCTTTTTTGACAGTGCTCCTAGTGGCAGCTATGGTACTATGACTTATCTTTCCAAGGCTGTGGTCACATATGTTCAAGACTTCCTGCCAAGCAGCAGCTGTCTAATGCAGTAACGACTGCAGTTCCCAGAAAACCAGTGACCTTCAGGATGGATCTATGACCGGTTTTATTAAATCTAACAACAACAAAAAAATCAGTTGACCTTAGTTCAGTAGCAAAGGACAAGCATCAACAGGGAAGCCACTAAAAAACACCACAGGATATGTTGTGAAGCTAACAGACTGCAGGAAATGGACCACTGTGCCGTTCTGTGTTTTAAAGGGATAGTTCACCCAAAAATGAAAATGTGTTCTACTGAAGAAACAAAGTCACCTACATCTTGGATGCCCTGGGGGTAAGCAGATAAACGTCAAATTTTCATTTTTGGGTGAACTATCCCTTTAATTATACAATTCTAATTTAAGAACTGTAAAATGCAATTAACTAATATAATATAATATAATATAATAATATATATTTAATTTCAACAGAAACACTTTACATGATTTTAATTATCATTTTGGGTTGGCTAACTCATTTAAATAATTTATAATTTTATGTTCATAGAAATATGTTTATTTTATTTAAATTGGTGCTTCAATTGTGTGTCTATAGAGCACTTATAGTTTGATCTGTACCATGTCTCTAGTTAAACAAAACAAAAGGCTGTGTTATATTACTGTAAGCTTTGAGACTTAACATTATCCTATACATTGTTATTACATTATAAAACTACTCTGAAATGTGTTATTTAACAGGTGCTTCTTATTTAAAGAAACATACGATACAAAATGTAATGCCTCATAAAAGTCATATGTAAAATTAACTTATAATCTGTTCTTTGCATGCAAACATGCAACATTCTCACTCATGGCATTCAGCATTATGTGTGTCTTCAGAGAACTGAATATAATACCTTTACCTAATACCTTGTGATTTAATTTTTGAACTAGGTAAAAAAAAAAAAGTTCACCAAGAAACTTAAATCATAGAATTTTGAGATTTGATGGCAGACTGACCCGACTGATGGCAGCTTGAAAGCTCTAGGAGTAAGAGTCAGAAATGTTAGTGTCAGAAAAAGACTAATTTAAGGTTTAACCCTCAAGCATCCTTCGTATAGCAGCCCTTAATTTGTCCTTCATGGACAAATTTGGGCACGAAGGTCTCAGTTGTGATCCCGATTTTTTCTTCTTCAATAAATGTCACGAGCATCATTTTTATAGCAGCCCTTAATTTGTCATTCGTGGTCTCAGCTGTGATCCCGGTTTTGCTTTTAAATAAATGTCATATCACTGTCTTCGATAAAATAAAAACTATCAATTTATGCAGTTTTTTGTGTGATTTTTGGTGTTTTTTGAATTTATTTACCCCTAAAAGTACCATATTTTTAATGTAAAATATGCTTATTTTTGTTATATTTAATATTTCTTATACTTAAGTAAAGAAAATCACTCCAGTAAGTTTAGACAGCCAAAACCTACAATTTTGGTGACATATGATGGTATAAAAATATCAATAGCCACTATATGGCTGTAGTACTCAATGGCTGCATATAGGCTGAAATCAATAAACCATTGTTGTAATGAACTTAACCTCTTAAGTTTTAGATTTTATCACAGGTTAAAAGTGTATAATAATAAAAAAAAAACAGTTGAGTGAGACTATACAAAGATGCCAAAATATGCTTACAGACAAATCTGACCATGCTATGAGGAAAAGACAAAGTAGGAGACAGAGTAATCATTTATTTCTAATAAAAAACATCAAATTTCAATAACTCAAAAAAGTAAAATGGAACCAAATTATTCCAAACATGTAAGAATAAACAATAAACCTGCATGTTTCAAGCATTTTTTTGTTGTTGTTGACATTTTCATCAACAAATCTTGCAGTAGGACTTTGATCTGATTTTGAAGTGTGTGTGTGTGCACAGTGGCTGAGTGGCACAAAAAAAAAGCTCAGTCATTGTCTCATTCAGTTGTTTTTTTCTTGTAAGTGTCAGAGACTGTTTTTATTCGACAAAATTAAAAAAATTTAAAACTTGCTGTGTTATAGGCTCATTCAATGCTTTGTATATGGGTTTGTGTGTGTGTGTGTGTTTGTGAGTGTTTGCCACATTGAGAATGTTGTATAGACTCACCCCTTCATTCATATGTATGTATGATCTGCATTGTGTTGGATTTATTGATTTTTGTTGGACAAATAAAAAAAAAATGCTTTGAATTTTAGTATTTCCCATTCATTTCCTATGGGTGCCCATCTTTTGGCACGAATGACAAATTTTCACTTAACTTTGTTGAATCGATTTTTTTTGTGTGTGTTCAGGTGGCAAATTTACGAAAAGTAGCCAAGTCTTGAACTGCTCAGATTAAGGAAACTATAAAAAAACTGATTTTGCCTAAATGTTGGCTTTCTGGAGGCTAACATAATTTAAAATTAAAGCTGCAAGCAGCGATGAACGGGCCCTCGCACCCGGGCTCACCACCAGCGGGCGGCTTTAGTAAAACAGTCAACGGCGAGCAATATGGATTTAAAGTGATAAATATAGGAGGAATATGTCAAAGTCATTTATATGTGCCAATCTTCCTGCTGCCAGCTGGTGGCGCTATGACTGTAGCCGAATATGAGTATGTAGATGTCTTCAGGCCAGGACTCTAATCAAACATGTGAAGTTTGAGGCAGATTGGACATTGTATGCATGAGTTACAACAACTTCCTGTTTGATGGTGTTAATAGCATGCTTTAGCACTTAGCTAAGTGTTGCTAGCATGTTTGAGCATATTTCTAGCATGTTTAGCACACAATGGCATATTTTACTGTGTTGCTAATAGTGCATCACAGTGTTAACCCTGATAGCACACATACATCTCGGAGACGTCTATTTGATGTCTGCATTTACATCTGCAAGACGTATTTTTTAGAGT